AAAAAAAAAAAAAAAAAAAAAAAAAAAAAAAAAAAAAAAAAAAAAAAAAAAAAAAAAAGAGGGGAGGGGAGGGGAAGCCCTCATCATTTCATCTACCTTTCTGCACATGCCCATCAAAATAAATAATAAATAATGATAAAGAAACCTGAACTGGCATTCGCGGCGGTGTGGGCGGCGGAAGGAGGAGGAGGAAAGGGTGGTATGGTGGTTTTAGGGTTAGGGTTAGAAGGGTGAAATGTGGAGGTGCAGACAGCGATAGTGGTGGGGATGTTAGGATGAGCGGTAAGGTTAAAGGGGGTTCCAAACAAAATTGGTACAGCTATCTCCCTGTCTTCTTCTCCCCTATCCATTTCTCACTTTTTGTTCTGATTCATTTTTTTCCTCTCTCCATCCACATCTTTCTTTCTTTCTTTCTTTCTTTCTTTCTTTCTTTCTCTCTTACATTTTCTCTTTTGACCTTTGACTCTTTCCTTCTTTTCATCCTCTCTCTCTCTCTCTCAATTTCAGTGCTCTCCTCTCTCCCTCTCTTTATCTTTATTTATCCATCTTAATGCATCTTCTCTCCCCATTACACCCCTTCTTCTGCCACCTTCATTTATCCTTCTTATTCTGCTTGCCTAACCCATATTGACTAAGACACTCTGTTTATCACAAGCGATTAGGCTAAACCAAATCGAGAATAATTTTACATACAAACAATGAATGAAGAAGGAGTGAATCCGCTAATTGCATGCATTTTCATCCAAACATTGGAACTCAAAGTTAATGTTATAATCTACTCTCACAATATGATTATGTGTAAAACATTACAACATTCTTTTCTTTTATTTACATGGAATATTAAAAAATAATTAAAGAGACAGGAACAGGAGTTCAATTATTTGTATACGTGAGTCAGATGGTGTGATTTGTGATAATATAAACTAGATTTTCCAGAAAATAAAAAACAAAAAAGGCAATCTAATAAAATATATACATCCCGATCTTCACTATCAGAACTCCAAACTATGTCATAAACAAATCCTCCATGTCCAAATTAATAACTTAATTCCCCTTTTTTTTTTCTTTTTTCTGGAATTTTAGATCCAAATTTTTAATTTATTTTTATTGTGTGATTGTTGATGAAGATGATGATGGTGATCTGAGTAATAACCCATATTTTGTGTGTATTTTTGTGAATTTAAAGGATTAATTGAAAGAAAGAAAGAAAGAAAGAAAGACAGACAGACCAGAGAGAGGGTTGAAAGAAACTCTGCATAAGGCTTAATAATTAAGCTATGATAAGTGGCGAGGAAGAAGAGAAGAAAATAAGGGGGAAAGGGAAGTAATTAATGAGGAAATTATGATTACGATTTTAATTAAGAACGCCGAAACCTCTGCCTGCAAGATTGGCAAGTGATCTCCATGCACGTAGAGTCCATTTGCCGAGTGGCTCTCTCTTTCATTCGCTCCGCCTTTTCCACTTCTTCTCGCGCCCTCTCCCACATCTGTCGAGCCCTTCCGAATTCCGTCTGCGCCAATTCTATCTCCCTCTTCGTCAGTTCTCTCACTCTCTCCGCGTACGCCTTTTCCATCGCCGCCAGCCTTATTTGCTCCGCCGCCTGCCACTTCAGCGCCTCCACGCAGCTCGCCGCCTCCGGCTTCATCACCTTCTCGTACTTGAACACGCACTCCGCCGTAGGCCGGATTGGCCTTACGCTTATCGATAGCTGCAGGTCCAGCGATCCTGGACCCGGTTCATACGGATCCGACCGGAACCTCATCGACGACGCGGATGGGCGGGACGACATGTGCGACGACGACGACGACGACGACACTATGGTGTGAGGCGTCGGAAGGAGCTGCAACTCCTTCTGATCTTCATCTTCCATTTCTGAAGATACAAATTAAAAGGGAGATTGGTTTTCCTTTTTTTTGCTTTTTTTTCTCTCTTTTTTCGTTTCTTGAGTACAATCGAAACAGGCTCTCTGAATGAAGTGCCAGGAACTTGCACCTATATATATACAACAAATTGGCTTCTGAATTTACCGTTTTACCCATCCCGTTTCTCCTCCATGATTGTGGATGTCTTGTTTACATTCATTCCCATACAACACCATCCAGCATCACCACCATGCTTCATATATATGTGTATATATATATATAACCCCTACTCCAAAATTATCCAGTGATTATTAAAAACATGCAAATTCATCAAATAATTAAGCAAATGTTAAAAGAAATGAAATTAGAAAATGGTTATTTGAAAAACAATTTAAATCATTAGTAGGGCTTATTTTGAATGATTTGAATACATATTCGACGCCAATCCTTCCTAATCAAAGAAGAATAGATAGTAGAAGAAAAATTAGGTAGATGTCAAATAATTGACATCATAATTATTTTGAAAAGAGAAAAAATTGCAATTGATAGAAATTTTGTAATGTAGGGAGAGCCCTGGAAATAAGGAC